TGTATTTTAGGGCCCTTTTCTCCCTAGCTGCTTTCAAAATTCTCTCTTTGTCCTTATATTTTGCCAGTTTCACTATGATATGTCATGCAGAAGATCAATTCAAGTTACATCTGAGGGGCGCTCTCTGTGACTCTTGAATTTCAACATCTACTTCCCTCCCCAAGTTGCGGAAGTTATCTGCTATAATTTGTTCCAGGACTCCTTCAGCACCTTTCCCTGTCTCTTCCTCTTCTGGGATTCCTATGATATGGATATTATTCCGTTTGATTGTAACACTGAGCTATAGAACTCTTCTTTCATGTTCCTGGATCAATTAATATCTATTTATCTCAGTTTATTCTTTTTCTATAATTGTGTCTTCTAAATCACTTATTCTCCTCTCTGCCTCTTCAATCCGTGCATTGGACGCCTCCAGTTTATTGTGTATCTCATTTATAGCATTTTTAAATTCATCATAACTATTTTTGACTCCATAGTGTTTGTAGCCATAGTTTCTCTGATGTCTTTCATGGTTTTTTTCAAGCCCAGTGATTACTTTTATGATTATAATTCTAAATTCGTGTTCAGTTATGTTGCTTATATCTGTTTTGAGCAGTTCTTTAGCTGTTATTTCTTCTTGGAATTTCTTTGGAGAAGAGTTCTTCTGTTTTGTCATTTTGGTTAGCTTTCTATCTCTTCTTAATTAATCAATTAATTTAAAAGCTTGTTGTATTCTCTGCCCCTGCGAGTTCTGCTGTATCAAAGAGAGCTCCTTGACTGTTCAGTGCCTGTCTGTTCAGAAAGTGTTCTTTGAATGCTGTCTCTTGGTTTCTCTTGTTGAGCATTTGGTTATTTTGTTTCCCTACTCTAGCGGTATTTGGGACTCTCCACCATGTGTAGTTTGGCTTGTTTCTTGAAGCAGCCCTGGAAAAAGAAAACAGACAACCACAGAGGGAACAAAGTTACACAGACACACAGAGAAAACCAATAAACACGCAAACCCAGGCTCAGGTAAAAACAACAACAACAAAACAGCTCTCTGGCGAGGATGGTTGTGGTTTGGGGTAGGCAAGTCTAACCTCCACTGTGTCCGCTGACTGCTCCCTGAGGCCCTACCTTGGTGGTTGTGAGGAGAAGAATGGCGTCGCCCCAGTCCCTTCTCAACCAAGCATTGCACATCTCTCCTTTGGGTCCAATCTCCCTATGCTGAGGATGTAGCCAAGATGGGCTGAGCTCTATGCCCCATGTCCCGCCTCGTTTCCAGGTCCCAGTCCTGGGCTTTGTTTATACCGCTCTAAACAGTTCCACCTGTCGCTGCTTCCCTGCTGCTGAGATTTGAGTGGGGGGGTGGGGGAAGTGTCACAACTTCAGATCCACCAGAGTCAAGCAGCGATACAACCTGGGATCCGAGGCCTCAGTGCCCGCCCACCCCCACCCCCACCCCCACCCGCGTGCTTGCAGGGAACAGCAGCTTCAGGTCCTGCCACCTGGCCACCAGGCCGCCACCGCCAGAGATGGTGCTGGAGCCCTGCAGTGCAGTTTTTTCTGGCGTCTTCTGGGATCGGGTGCACCTAGTTCAAAGTCAGCACCCCAGTCAGAACTAAAAACCACTCTTTCCAAGCCGAGGTTTTTGTCTTCTCCAGGGATGGTTCTATGAGCAATCTCAGCTTTTCTTTCCTTTCCCCGGGACTCGCTGCAGCTCATCACTCACCGCGGCTGCACACAAGCCCGGTTCCCTCCCCTCCCTCCATATCTCCAGGTCCCGTCCCGCTTTTATCTTCTCCAGTTTGTCCTCACACACTTGCCTTCCAAGTATACTTTGTCTCTTTCTCTTCCTAACCTCCTGCGGCTCAGGGTCCGATGGCCTAAGGCTGTCTCTGTTTGAGAGATGGGTGCGAGCGCAATGCACAGAGCTCCTTACTTCTCCGCCATCCTGCAGTTCTCTGATTCTGCAGTTCTATACATTATTCTGCTCATCATGGGTAATCTTAATCCCCATCACCTATTTCATCCATCCCCCACTCACCTCCCTTCTGGGAACCACAACTTTGTTCTCCATATTTAAGAGTCTTTTTTGGGGGCGCCTGGGTGGCTTAGTCGGTTAAGCGTCCGACTTTCGCTCAGGTCATGATCTCGCGGTTCGTGGGTTCGAGCCCCGCGTCGGGCTCTGTGCTGACTGCCAGCTCAGAGCCTGGAGCCTGTTTCAGTCTGTGACTCCCTCTCTCTCTGACCCTCCCCTGCTCACGCTGTCTCTCTCTCTCCTAGAAATAAATAAAAACATTTTAAAAATAAATAAATAAATAAAAAGAGTCTTTTTTGTGTGGCTCTTTTTTTTCTCTATTTATCTGTTTTGTTTCTTTAATTCCACATACGAGTGAAATCATATGGTATTTTTCTTTCTCTGACTTATTTCACTTAGCTTTATACCTTCTAGGTCCATCCATGTTGTTTGATGGAAATGTTTACCTCAAAATAAGAGCTTTTGCACAGCAAAGGAAACCACCATCAAAACAAAAAGACAACCAACCTACTGAATGGGAGAAGGTATTTGCAAATGATGTGTCCAATAAGGGATAAATATCCAAAATCTATGAAGAACTTATACATTATACAAGTGAACACCAAAAAAATAATAATATTTCAATTAAAAAATAGCCACATGACATGAACAGACCTTTCTCCAAAGAAGAAATACAGGCGGCCAACAAATACGTAAAAATATGCTCAACATCACTCATCATCAGAAAAACGCAAATCAAAACCAAAGCGAGATATCACCTCACACCTGTCAGAATGGCTAAAATAAAAAACACAGGAAACAGTAAGTGTTGGTAAGGATGTGGGGATAAAGAATCCTACACACTGTTGGTAGGAATGCAAACCGGTGCAGGTTGTGGAAAACAGTATGGACATTCCTCAAAAAATTAAAGATAAAACTACCATATGATCCAGTAATCTCACTCCTGTGTATTAACCCAAAGAAAATGCATCCTCATAGTTATGGTCATCTCTGACACTAAGAATATATTAGGTCTATCTTGTTATTTAAGTTTGTCTTTCTAAGTACACTCCACGGGGAGATCTATATTTGATAATCAATTTTTGCCAGTGGTTATGGTAGGCATTCTAGACACCCAGGTGAACAATAGAATAAAACAAGAAGAGTTATAAGCACAGTGGCATGTTTGTGGAGGAAGTGCCTGCAATTAAGCTTTCGATTTCTGAGGCATCGATTTCAAGGGCAACCATGTGGTATAATAACATTATTGTCAGGTGTGTGATACAATCACCAGACAAGTACTCAGGCTGCCCCAGCCCGAAGGCTCGTCTTCAGAAAGCCCTGGATAACCTACATACTGATACATGAGTGACCCCGCTTTTCCATTTCTGTGCCAGAATTAAACTCTTAGGTTTTAAATGTGTCAATAAAGAGGAGACCTGCAGCCCCCTAACCACTCTGACCAGAGACCCCAGTAAAGGTAGGGCCCCCATTGTGGCCTTTCTCTCTCTCTCCTTCTGAATCTCTGTACTGCCCCTCCAGACATCTCCACCTGTTCCTTCCAGAGCCTATGAGTAATAAATCTTGTTTTTTAGAGTTCTCAGATGGGTGTCGCTGAGGTATGTCTTGGAATCATAAGAACCCAAGGGCCAGTGCAGTCACAGCACAGGCTCTGGTCAGGGAAACATCCGTGAGAATGTTCACGTGCACACGGGCGCAGGTGATTGGCAGGCCTTCCTAGCTTAGACATCGATGTCAATAGCCTGAGGCTTCAATGGAACACTGTTAGAGTCCACATCCTCAGCAAGAGTAGTTAAGGTAATGATATCATAAGATTGACAGACTCCCGGTGAACACCATGGTTTTGTATTCTCCTGGACGGTAGAGTTATGTAATGGGCTTAGTGGCCAAGTGTAGTTTACTTCCGTATGAGGAATGCAACTCATGATTACTCTTTTGGGAAATCTAGGGGAAATTTATTTTGCATGATAGAAGTCATTTGAAATGAAGATGGAAACCAGCTCGACAATAAACTATTTTTAAAAAATAAATAAATAGCCAATATGGTAAAAAAAAAATAACAAAATCTTGCCATTTGCAACAATGTGGGTGGAGCTAGAGAGCATTATGCTAAGTGAAATATGTCAGTGAGAGAGAGAGACAAATACTATATGATTTCACTCATATGTGGAATTTAAGAAACAAAATAGAATAACATAGGGGAATGGGGGGAAGTGAGAGAGGGAAGCAAACCATAAGAGACTCTTAACAATAGAAAACAAACAGGGTTGATGGGGGAAAGTGGATGGGTGATGGGGATTAAGTAAGGCACTTGTGATGAGCATTGAGTGTTGTATGGATGTGATGAATCACTGAATTCTGCTCCTGAAACCAATTTTACCATATATGTTATCTAACTAGAATTTAAATAAAAATTTGAAATAAAAAAAATAAATGAAGATACTTTTAAGAAATCCAACTTCTGAAAAGTAAAATAAGATTGAAACAAGAGAGAGGCAAACCATAAGAGATGCTTACAGATAGAGAACAAAGTGAGGGTTGCTAAAGGGAGGAGGTGAGTGGGGGGATGGGCTACATGTGTGCTGGGCAGAGGACACTTGTGCCGAGTGCTAGGTGTTGTATGTAAGTGATGATCACTAAAGTCTATTCCTGAAGGTTTATTCCAAATAAAACCTTGGAAAGAAAAAAAAAGAAAGAAATCCAACTTTCCCGTTTTAAGATACAGAAGTTTCTAGGCATTTGTGTACCAAGGATGGGGAAAACATTGGGGACATATGAAAATGGACAAGGGAGAAACCGTATATCAGACAGATCAGAAGTTTAATAAAGTGAGTTACTTAAATGTATAGAGAAGTTGAAACCAAAGAAATGGAAATTCCAGGAAAATAATAGAAGGAGCAGATTGTACTTCCACAGCCTGATAAAGGAATAGCAGCTCCTGTCTCTGAGGCTCTGAGCCCTCCAGTCATGGGCATGTCTTTAGCCCCAGGACAATTGGACCTTATGTCACTGGCACCCTGACAATTCTTTTCAGAGCTCTCTTCATGTCTTTGTTCCTCAGGCTGTAGATGAAGGGGTTCAGCATGGGAGTGACCACCGTGTACATCACCGAGGCTGTTGCACTTGAGTGGGAGCTCTGGGTAGCAGCGGAGCTAAGGTACACTCCTAGGACCGTACAATAAAATAAGGAGACAACCGAGAGGTGAGACGCACAGGTGGAAAATGCTTTATACTTGCCCTGCGCTGACGAGATCCCACGTATGGAAGAAACTATCTTACAATAAGAGTAAAGGATCCCAGCCAGAGAAGCACCACCCAACAATCCAGCTGCAAAATGCATCAGCGTGTCATTAAGAAAGGTGTCAGAACAGGCAAGTCGGACCACTTGATTGATTTCACAGAAAAAGTGGGAGATTTCTGCCTCTCTACAGAAGGACAGCCACAACACCATTAGGGTTTGTACTAAGGAATTCAGGCTGCCCACCATCCAGCATAAAAGAACCAGCAGCCCACAGAAGGTGGGTTTCATGATGATCGTGTAGTGCAAGGGGTGGCAGATGGCCACGAAGCGGTCATAGGCCATCACAGTCAGGAGAAACATGTCTAATCCTGCACAGAGTATGAAAAAATACACCTGTGTGATGCAGCCTGCGTAGGTTATGAACTTACTCTGAGTCTGGATGTTCCACAGCATCTTCAGGACGGTGGTGGAGGTGAAGCAGATGTCCACAAAGGACAGGTTGGCGAGGAAGAAGTACATGGGCGTGTGGAGGTGGGAGGAAGAGGTCGCGGCTAAGATGATGAGCAGGTTTCCAAACACAGTGATCAGGTACATGGAGAGGAAAAGCCCAAATATGAGGGGCTGTAATTCTGGTTCCTCTGAAAATCCCAGAAGAAGAAATTCTGAAATGTGTGTATCATTTCCTGGTTCCATGTGCTGGAGGGGATGCCAGGGGGAAGGAATGACATGAATTATTTTCTCAATAATGAACATTACAAATATTATTGAAATTCTACCATTTTCATTTTGCATTCAAAAAGTCAGTATCCATGGTTTTTGTATGGAAACTGTCACCCCTTAGGACCCCCCCCCCCGCCATGCCAGCTCTGAAGAGGATTTCACTTCACACACTTAATTTCTTCCCAAGTGCTCATGCATTCTATACTTTTAATGAGAAATTCTGTCGTATGTCATATGTCATATGTCATAAAATTTGAGAAATAACCAGAGTTCTGACCAACCTTTACACAAAGTGTATAAATGTCAAGAAACAAAAGCCTGTAGGGTTCAGTGATGGAAAAAAGAAGATAAGCAAATAAAAGATCAGATAAAATATCAGGAAGTGACAGATGCTATGGAGAAAAACAAAGCCTGTGTAAAGGAAAGAGTGGATGGAGGTGTTATTTTTTTCTGTTTTTCGGGGACACCAGCACACATTTAAACAGAGGATTTAAACAATATCCTCTGGGAAGGAGTGTGCTCATCAGAGGGAACAACCAGCTCAGAGGTTCTGAAAGAAGACATGATTTTCTTAAATTAATTTTTTAAATTTGAGGGTGGTTGAAACACCATGTTACACTAGTTTGCGGTGGACAACACAATGATTGAACAAGTTTAAACATCGCTCCCCGCTCACCACGCATGGAGCCGCCATCTGTCACCACACAACACGGGGACAGTGTCACTGACTGTATTCCCTCTGCTGTGTCTTATACTCCTGTGAGTCATCATTCCTTACCATGGAAGGAATTCCTTCACTGGAAGCCGGTACCTCCCCCTCCCCTTCACCATTCTGCTTTTTGTTGGTTTGCTTATTGTTTTAAAAATCAAGGCTCTAAAGAAAGCCGGTGTGTCCCGGGGCAGGAGCAAGATGAAGGGTGATGAGAGGCGGTGGCAGGGAGTGTTGGGGAACAAGGTGGCCTCCGGACGACACTGGTGAAATCAGAACACGAGGAATCCCTCCTTCACATGTGTGTCTTGCACTTTATTAGTTTTGTTTTCAAGGAATCTTTGAATACGAATGGACCCTTTCTTACCTTCATAGGTTGGGTGGTAATCTGACACCTGTATTTTAAGGGTCATGTGTTAGAGCGATGGGTTTCAGGACCTCTACCTTGAGAACCACTTTGTCATACACACACACACACACACACACACACACACACACACTATAGCCTCCTATGGTTATTCTCACCTACAGCCAAATAATTACACAATGATACAAGGCGGGCTGTCGACATCACATTGTCTTCCTCTAAAGATGTAAACAGGGGTCCTATTTCCATGAGCGTGTAAACTTGGGTCTCCATTTCCATATGATCGTTTCATGTCCGGTGCTTAAAGAAAACTAAACCATCAGTTCCATAAACCGAGAGCAAGAAAACTGGAGAGAAAGATGTAATGAGCTCAGGTGGCCCCAGCGATGGGGATGAGAAAGTGCCCCTGGTCCTGGCAACACCCCAACCCCAGATGCAACTCCTTGATGCCCAGCATAAAAAAGCAGCAAAAAACAATTTATCCTAAAGTATGAAGGTCTTCATGTTATCAAGACATCCCACCAGAATAACAAGCAAGGGAAGACACTCACAATTCACAAAAGGAAATACACAGAGTACAACAAAAATGAGGTATTTAAAGATTATTTGCTAAAAATCACTTTTTCTAAATAATATATAATGCAAATTTGTGTAATTAGGAACTCAGGTTTTGGATTTTGGATCTACACAGATTTGCTATTCGAACTTGAAAAAAAAACAAATTTATACTTTTTTTTTTCTTCTTTACATTCTAGTCACTTAACATACAGTACAATATTGGTTTCAGGAGCAGAGTTTGTGATTCATCACTTACAACACCCAGTGCTCCTCACAGGAAGTGCCCTCCTACATCCCCAGCACCCATCTAGCCCATCCCCCACCGCCTGCCTCCATCAACCCTTATTTTGCTGTCTGTCCTTATGAGTCTCTTGTGGCTTGTTTCCCTCTCTTCTCTTCCCCCACCTCCCCAACCAAACTATTGTCAATGCCAATATCCTTCCCCAAATAGTAGGGCTAGAGGTATCTGTCCTGCGCAGGTGGTTGACAGATTTAGTTAATATGCCATAAAGACCTTAGCATGGTTCCCTCTGTTGATAATGGGTGTTTCTCGCTGGTGAGGAAATTTGGCTGAGTTTTCTTTGTCCTCTCAAATGTCCTCATTGCTTCCCCACCTCTGGAACCCCAAATCCACAGCCTTATTTCAATTCCTTGTACTGTCTCCACCTATTATGGACTGGGGCCCCTCCAGCCAATATTCACATCAACACCAAGAGGTCTTTTTCTTAACCTTTTTTTAAAAAAGTATTTATTTATTCTTGAGAGAGAGAAAGAGAGAGACATGAGCAGGGGAGGAACAGAAAGAAGGAGGGAAAATCTGAAGCAGGCTCCAGGCTCTGAGCTGTCAGAACAGAGCCCGATGCAGGGTTAGAATTCACAAGCTGTGAGATCATGACCTGAGCTGAAGTCTGACACTCAACATAATGAACCATCCAGGTGGCCCAGCCCAAGAGGTCTTTCTAGATCACAGGTGCGCTACTGCCCACCTCCCCAGATTAACCCCTTCCTGATGACTCCCCCGTGGAGAATGAACCCCAAATTCCATACCTTCCAACACTTGGCTTGCCTCCCCTGACCTGCTCACCAGCTTCACACTCACACCGCCTCACCCACATCCACCTCACAGACATTGAACCTGAGTTGTACCTTCACCTGAAGCCCCAATCTCAGGGCTCAGAGCCTCTACACACCTGCTTCCCTCTGCTTGGAGTCTCCCACTGGCCTATTTGGAACTTTTCACCTCCTCTCTATCTTGAAAATCCCATCACCTCTTTCAGATTCTTCATGAACCTTTCTGGGTGTGGTTTCTGTTAATATTGTCACAGAAAAAGGACTTTCTCTCGCAATAAGTTAGATGTAAGGGTCACCACTGTGTAATTTTTATTTAATTCCATATGCGTTTCCCTGCTAGACTGTGGGTGCCCTGGGGGCGTGTTATGGTCACTCCCGCCCTTTATGCCCAGACATAGCTTGGCTGGGGACACTAGGAATAAATACAGATTGCATGTGGGAATGAGAGGCTCTGTGCTCACAGAAGTTCCAGTGATGAGAGAGAGAATAGAAACAGGGAGTTACTAGCACAGGAACAGAGGACACGAGACAGGACTGTTTTCCATATTCTTAGAACGGGACCATGTGTGGGGTCAGGCTGGGGTCTGCAAGAATAAACTAGAATAGAAGAAATGAGGCACAACAGAAATTACCAGAGCGCATCGCACGTGCTCAGGCTGCGAACCCAGTCATTTCCTGGTTCTCCCTGGGGAGCCCTGTGCATGTGCACAGACATGCTTCTGTCCGTGTTTGCCCCTGCAGCGTGCTGGGTCACGTGTAACAGGCATGTTTTGCTCTGGGATAAAGTCAAAAATTTTCTCATCCGTGGCAGTCAATGCCAGGAGAGGTTTAAAGGAAGTCAGCTCCTGCTAGTGAGGGAAAAGCACCCTGAAGAAAGAGCCCGTTCCACCAGCCAGGCTGCGGAGAGAGCGGGCGCCGGGGTGGGCGCCGTGTCCCCTCCAGACGCAGGGGCCGCACCCTCACTGCACTTTCATCACCCCCTTCGCTCCTAATCGTATCCACATCAGGCCCTTGTGTGGCTTTTATGCCACTTTATTCCTCTGTGTTGGACCACACTGCTTCTCATGGGGCCCAGTAATGGACGAGGCCGGCCCTCCTCTCACATTTCTGTGTAATCCCTGGGTCCTGGGTTTTAATCTCTTTTTTGCCAAACTCATCGGGCAAGTCTCGACCTGTTGCTGATTTTTGTGCAACGCGTGTAGGCGTCCCTGTAAATCCTATACGCGCCTCGGAAACCTGTCTCCTTTCTTCGTATGTATCCCCTTGAAGACATGATGTCTTACACACGTTTATTTCACCCACTCTGCTTTCTTCAATTAGTGTAAGATCCAAATGAGCGGGACCTCACTTCCTTCATTCATCTTTCCTGCTTCTTAAAGGTGTGCATTTTGGTAGAAACACATTTTTAGAAAATGGAATTTACAAAATAAAAAGAATAGCAGGGAAAAGGAAAGGAGGGTTAAGACAGTGGATTCCAAACAACCTTGTTAATCAAAATAGAATTTAAAAAAGACTCTCTTCTGCAAGAAAAGATAGAAAAGAACAATACTTTCATCACAGTAACACAGGAGTCTAAATCAAACCGGAATGGTAAAAACCTAATAAAAAAGAATAGAAAATGGGGTGCCTGGGTGGCTTAGTCGGTTAAGCGTCCGACTTTCGCTTAGGTCATGATCTCGCGGTTAGTGGGTTCGGGCCCCGTGTCGGGCTCTGTGCTGACTGCCAGCTCAGAGCCTGGAGCCTGTTTCAGTCTGTGACTCCCTCTCTCTCTGACCCTCCCCTGCTCACACTGTCTCTCTCTCTGTCTCCTAGAAATAAATAAACATTAAAAAAAATAGAAAAATACAATTTATAATGCTCATTGAATTTAAAAAGAGTGCAGAGAGCAGAATCTAAAATTATAATTTCCTTTTCTCTGAACATAAGTGGAGTCCAATATGCTTCTGAAAAAGCTATAAGTTGAATACAAGAGAAATCCATGTCTCCACAGGATGGCAGAAGCATGATTGCCGGCTTAGAGATCTAATCACAAGCAGTAAAAGGTAGTAAGGAATCACAGACAGGAAGTAAGGTGGCCATACATACAAAAGGGATTTTATTTTTACAAAGCACGTAAAAAACAATGGGTGAGAGCAAAATATGATGAATTGACTGATTTGACCGCTCAAAATTTATAAACTCTCACACCACCCAACAAATACATCTATCCATGTATGCAAGAATTAAGCAGCAAATAAATAGCAAACTTGGCTTAAAATTTTGCAATTA